ACCATCCATTTCAAATAGGATTTGTCCCGTGGACACACGAGCAATCCAACCCGTAGGATTTCCTTTTCCTCTTCCCATTCTGACTTCTGTAGGTTTTCCGGTAATAGGGATATCCGCGAGAACTCTTACCCATATCTTACCATTTCTTCGGGATTGTCCGCTCATAGCACGATGGAAGTGTCCGATTATAGCCCGACGCGCTGCTTCAATGGCTCGATATGAAAGACGACCTGCTCTACAACTTTGAGTTCCATATCTTCCAAAACCAAGTTGTGTACCGTCCGGTTTGCAACCCCTACTACATCTGCCTTTACGATATTTATTATATTTCGTACGTTTTGGATATAGCACGCCCCAAACTTCCTCTCCCTTTGGTCGAGCTCAATTACATCGACCCTCGATCTTCAAAGAAAACTGACTCCTCCTGGCACTTTTAGGATATGCTCGTCGTTGGTCCTTAGGTCACTGTCACAGTCACGGTCACTTTAGTATTTCCAGTGTAATGGGAGATTTGGATTATGATAGTAAGGAACGAAGTCTTTCAACCAACTATATGAAATCCACACTTTGACACCTAAGATTCCGTAACGAGTAGATACTTCCGCAGGAGCATAATCGATTTTCTGGTTAAAAACATTACGAGATCTTTTTCCATACTTTCCGCATTCAGTTCTAGCTATTTCTGCACCTTCTGATCGACCTGAACAACATATACGGATCCCCGTAACCCCCTTTTTCATTACTAATGGAATCTTTTTCACTATTTGACTAAAAATGGAACGAAATGATCTTTTTTTGGTCCTCAGTTGAAAAGAGATGTCTTGAGCAATCGGAGAAGCACTTTGATAAACAGATTTGATCTTAACCGATTTAATTAAGGTATTAGTGTTTGTTCTATTAGACAACAAAGATCGCATTTTTTTCACTTCGTTCAAATAAGAGTTGTACCCGTACGGAATTATTCTCTTTCTCAGTATGATCTCTATCATCATCTCTATTCCCTTTATCAATTCTCCTATCCTACCTAGGTCTATGAATTTCTCTATCAATTCCATTACCTTATCCTTAGCCATGAGGTTCCAACATTTTTTCCAACATTGACCTAGGAGTTGTTTACGGGCATTCAAAAGGCTCGATATAATTGACCTAATCCTTTGAACCCTTTGAAAAAAAAAGGTAGCACCGAAGAAAGGAAAGAGCGAGATGGTTGTTTTTCTTGTTCCCGCGAAGCGAAGATCATTCGCTTGGCGAATGAAGTGGGTCAACCTCTTTTTGGCTTCGGCCAAACACTTTTTCTCGCTGGTCGAGCTTTCTACAAAAAAAGCGATGCGAGAACGTATTCTCTTATCGTCACTTCTTTCCTGTGCATTAGCTCCCCCTATCGTAGATGGTTCAGCCACGAAATGATTGAGAACGGAGACAGGGTCGAAATGCATTTTGTTCTTTGTATTCAATAAGTATTGCATGACCGAATAATTCAAGGAAGAGCGCACTGCGGGGCGGGTCCTTTGTTGTAGATGACTCGTCCAGCCGGAGAAGCGGGACTTCTTTGGGCAAAAGAACAAGAATAACTTCCTTCTTTTGAAAGCCCGGATCCTGGATTTGATTTGAGTATGCTTGAAGGCCCCGCTGACCCGAAGTGATGACGAAAGATGATTCTTTATCGATGGTGATCGGTCATGGTATCCATAGCCTTGCTTCTTTTTCGGCCAAATCCTTCTTTCGTTTTGCTTCTTCCGATCGTCGAGACTGATCGACTCGACTCTTTTCCCCGACCCCCGGCCTCTCACTTCGTTTCGTTCTTCTTCTGTACCGTCGCTTGAATGAAGACACCCGATCGGCCCGACTTTCCCCAATTCCCACCACCGTCCCTTCGCGGGTCTGGATTTTTCGCGTCGTTTTAGTCGTCGTCGTGGTCGACGGGGAAGAAAGAAATGAATCAATGTTCTTTTGGGAAAATGTAGAATAATACACCTACC